CCTGATCATTCTCTTTGTCCGACAAAGGGGYTGATCCTGTCACTATGATCACCTACTCAGATGAATTCTCGGACTGTCTCAACATACCTAGGTTTTGACCCCCTCTAAGGATCTCACTGATTGGCATATCAAAGATAGCCCAATCCGACACCTAGTGCAGTATCATAATCGAGTCTAGGGGTCAGGTGTAACATTCCAGTTTTGCACATATATCTCTAAGGTCTAGGGCAATACTGGAAATCTGGTCTGGTTCAGGGTTTCAAGAAAACCCACACTGCATGTACCTCAGGTCTCACCCTGGTAGCTGAGACAAGCCACCCCAACCAACTTAGCGGCACATCAGTGTCAGCCTTGGCAGGATAAATATCCCCAAATCTATCCAATGACTGAAGATTCTAAACTAACACGAGTCTCATATGTGTCCAGTTTAAGGGTATTACACAGAAACACACCATAATAACATGAATCAAATAGATACTTTATTCATTTACATTAAATGTCATAATGTACATCATTCTGATTGGAGCTAAGGGCATACACTATCTAACAGTTGAGTCATTATAGTTATAATTGATATTATCATCAATTTATCACTGATTAGAATTAACAAGGAAAGCATGATCATCCATACCATCTGATCATGGGCAAATAGGAAAATAGTTATAAAAGCACATATATAAGTGCCAATGTGATATCAACCATTAGAATGAATCTCCAATGGTATAAAAGAAAGAGGAAACATCTATGTGCGACACTAAAGATGTGGTTCACGCCAGTTACCAAACCCATATAAAGAGTGTCTTCCAAGATCCTAAACGTATAAAAGGTGTTATTGTACTTATTCATGCTAACAGCAATGGCCAGTTGAAATTTTGATGAACAAATCAGGGAGGATAGGCAAAAGGGAGAAGATGATTCTAAAAGCAAATCCAAAGAGCAGTGCTTCTCAAAACCAAGAACCCTGTTAAATTCATAGCAAAGAGGTCAAACAAACATACCCTGTTCAGCAAGGAGCTCATCCACATCCTTTGCCACCTATTTTCCCCATAAAACATAAAGATCAGAATTTAAAAGTGAGGTAAAACAACAATATGAGAAATTTAATAATCGAACGAAGACCAAAACAATGATAGAAGTTTCATAGTCGATTTTCCTTTCCTACCTATTGAAATGCTCATATTGCCTGTTACCGAGACCAAACACTCCGAAAGTAAGTTTCTCAAGCCAGGTTCCCCGCTCTTTTCTCTGCATATCCATCCATTAACCACAGTTAGAACCAATCAACACAATTATCAAAACATGACAAAAGTAAGCTTTAGTTCACAATATTTACCTCAGTAAACAGATAACCACATTCTTCTCCACTGCCCTGTCACTAGGAAGGTTTGGTGTTTCTTCCTAAACTTGGTTATGGCTAGGTTTTCCCTGAGAAGGTAGTGGACCACCTGTGGCAGTGGAAAGGCAAAGGTCTAGGAAAAAAAGGAACGGTATATTGGAGTACAGTGACACATGCAATCCTTTGGGGTATTTGGGAAGAATGGAACAGCAGAGCCTTAGAAAACAAATTCAGAAATGTGGAAGACCCAATCTCTTACATAACTTTCCTCTGTAACCTTTGGGTGGTTAATTCTGAAGCTTTCAAAGGTCTGTCTCTAAATGACCTCCAAAGTAACCTTCCAGCCATCCTACAGTCCTCTCCTAGAGCTGAATCAACCATGAGAAGCCTTATTATGGAAGAAGGTGGGATGATCCTACACTTTGATGGTAGTGCCCAAGGATCTACCAGCCAAGCAGGAAATGGTGGTGTCTTCTGTGGGGGATCAGCTGGGCTTATAGTGGTCTGATTGGGAGAGTTGATGCTATAAAAGCAGAGGTCTTGTCAGCACTTGCAGGAATTTGGCTTGCTAAACAGTTGGGCTTTTGCTCCTTAACTATAAAAGGGGACTCTGCAAATACGATAGCCTGGCTAAGGGAGAAGGAAGGAGGGCCTTGGAGATTTGCTCATCTGCTAGTTGAAGCTCAAGATATCTTAGAGTCATTGAATGTAAATCTGGTCTGGATTCTTAGGGAGCAAACCACTGTTGCAGACATCATTGCAAAATCAGGGGTTTCTAAGGAAAGTTTGTATAGTGACTTCTGCTTACCTCTATAATCCTGCCTCAGCTGCTTTAGCTTGTAATACATTTTCTCATGTACTTGTTCCTGTTTTAATTTAATAAAAGTTACCTTTGCTAAAAAAAGCTATGGCAGAAAATAGATATGAAACTCCTTTAATGACATTCTGCAATGATAATAATTACAGAGTGCTTTACAAGACTGTCAACCTGTATCTATAGACTAAGTAAGAAATGAAACCACACTTCTTATTTAGATTCAAACTCCAATAGAAAACAGTGAAGCGACCCTCCATGAGCACCTTGTTACTTAGGCATTGCCTTGACAGTGTTAATGACTAAACCGACATGGGCAAACTTGACATAAAGAATCTATTACTGTGGATGGAACAAACAGCCAGGTGGTCCACTAGTCAACTTGTCTTTGACTTTAACCAAATTTTTGATAATAAAAAATTTTACTAAAAGAAAAAAAAAAGAACATACTCTGGTGATAAGCAATCACTTAGAAAATTGAAGTAAGAAAAAACCCTTCTACCTCATCCCCACAACACATTAACTGAAACAACACCACTAATAAATTCCCAACAAAAATCGCTGCACTCTTCCCCCTAAGCAACAACAACCACACTACAGACCAATAAGCCACTCCAGAGCAATAACTACCCTAACAACCCAATTGACCGAATACAAGCTCCAACCCAATGAGCAATGCACCCCTGCAAGTCTCTACCCGAAAGATTTAAAAATTCATCAACTCTCCCCTCATTATGTATACATAATGGGACCATTATGTATATATTTTTCTATAAAACTGCTATAGGATGGATGCAACTGTGTAGGAATCTTAGTTGAATTCATGAAATTTGCATTATTTTATATATAATATAAAGAGATTCTAAATAGTGATATTATTATTATTATTATTAAATTAATTAATGAAACATGAGGGTTGGATAATGGGCTGAGTGTGGGAGGGCAATTAAAAAATATAAATTATTCTGACTTTACGTGCTAAAGTGAAGAATTCTCCTTGTGCAAGTATCTAGGGAAGGGAACGGGATCTGCTCCTCACACTTGGGCGCCTCACATGCACATCCACCGTGCATTATGAATAATTACTTGTAAGTACGGAAGATGTTCTCAATGCATAGTAGGATGTGCGTGTAAGGCACCCTAGGTGAGGAGCAGATCCGGTCTGCAGAGGATCATCTCACTTGGCTGTTGAAGGCACATTGAGAAACTAACTAAAACATCTCTCAAATACATGCAGAACTTCAGCCCTCAATCCCTACAGCTAAATTATATAATACTTGGGAGATCTTTATAAAAATAATAGGAAAAAAATTTCAACCATTTGATGAATGCTTGGTAGGATATGGTTTAGGGATCTGAATCATCTGATGATGCTTACAATTTGGCTTATTTTATTTTTCTGTGTTGACAGGTATATAAAGATATATGAGTAGAATGTTAGGATCATTGTAACAGCTATTGGTTTTTGGCCTACCATGGAGATTTAGATGGGTCCCCACCCCTGCATGTGCCAAGTGGACGTCACACACTGACAAGGTTTTTCGAATTTTATAAATTAAAAAAATAGTGATAAATGGAAAACAGAAAACTCTGTTGATATTACAGTTCAAGTGGTGATTGGGTGTATACCCCATGATATTGCAGTCAGCTAACTACTATCACTAAAGATTACACCCAAGCATGTCTTCTACCCCATGAAACCAAAACATAATTAGTAGTTGTAGCTGGTTTRATCATTACTCAACCCCATGAATTGGCCAAAACAATCCCAACAAGTCTACTAACGAATCGGAGGAGAGAGATAATGGCATCTGTTGTTATTACACCAGATTGAGAGAGGGTGTTTGGGTGTATTATTATTATTATTATTATTTTATTTATTTATTTATTTTTGTGAGCATATGTTTGGGTGTAATTAGGAGCCAAGGTTTGATGGAAGCTGTATACACAGAAAGCTACTTTTTATCTATTATGGATTTCTTCTCCTCTGTCGCTAGTGGATGTATGCTATAAGTCAAATCACATAAATCTCTAGGTATAATACTGAGTTGATTTATTTTATACTTTCCTTTTATTTTCACCATTTACCCATTGATTTTAGATCTTGAATTTATCCTTGGGCAACAAAAAACAATTGAGATACAAGATCAAAGATAAAACAACAGAAGAGTACCGATCACTCTTATATGTTCAATGATGATCCAAAATTGGTTGTTATAGTAGTGTTGTTTGTGGATAAATTTTAGAACAACTCAAAGGTAATATTCCCTGTTGGTGGGATCAAACTGATAATGAGTATTAGTGTATTACTTAAACTGAACGATCGATTAAATTAATATTTCATGAAACAAATAAAATGTATGGAGTAGCTAAGGCGACTCACTGATGATTAAAAAAAGGGGGAAAGGGATGAGAAGGGAACAAGGGTTCCAAAGAAAGAGAATCTGCTTTAGCATATTGAACTAATCATATTGAACAAGGGTTCCAATGAATGAATCGCAGAAAAAAAAAAGGAGCAGATCCCAACTATATTCACCGATTACCTGGATCTGGTGTGAAAATGTTGCAGTGCAATCACCGAGCTTGCTGAGTTGTCAGTGTTAGGGAGTTAGTTGGAGTTCGTTAATTCTGTTACATTGTTATTTCTGTTATTTTGTCAATACTTGTTCTTGGAAGTTACAA